TTTTTTTTTAATGTGTTAAAGTTCATCAAACTTCACACGCAAAAAAGTCGATTCTATTGCATATTCATTTAAATTACAAAAAAATCAAATTTCTTTGTAGACACTGATATATAATAGTCTTTCGGGGCAGTTCCCTATGAAAATTTTCACATGAAAATCTTTATTGCTGGAAATAGACAGCATGAATCATTTCCTAAATATTTTAGCACTGGTGTGGCACTGTAGGATAAACACTGGACTGCTACCCACAAGATCAACAATTCAAACCCAGCATCCGCTCTCAGAAACCCTATTCAGAGTCGCTATGAGTTGGAACTAACTTGATGGTACACGACACCACCATCAACAGCAGTAGCAAGCACCTTTAAACTCCTTTCTAGGACTTGTAGAGTATAACATCTTATCAGGATCGAGAATTTGTTCAGTTACTTCAAATGCATATTATATAGAGATTTTCTAAAGTGAACTATTTTGCCAGAATTAGAATCTATGTATATGTTATCCTTAAAATGAGTTTTCCCCCGACCAATTGATCAGGAAATAAAAATCAGTTTCCAAAGCTTTCAAGAGAATACCGCTTTTACACAACTGTTTTTATTTTCAGCCCCACTTCCTAAGAAAGTTGCCAGAAAACCCCCAGGCCTCATTATGTGTGTTTCTTTGCAGTTTTCCTTCTCAGCTTGCAAGTTTAATATTCAGAGAAGCAAAGAGGGAACAGGGAGGGTGGTGATGTGGCGAATGGGAATCCGGAACAGTTTCACCATGGAAGCCACGTTTTGTGGCTCTACCCTGGGTAAGAGCAAGTGTTCTTGTTCCAGCCACCCAAAGATCACTTTCAGTGATGTAGTGTAGACAATTTGATAGTAAGTACTTTCTTTTCACTTTACTACCTACTGGTATTTCATCTGTAATTTAAATAGAACGAATAAACTGTCACTGTATGGCGTGGCACTGTAGGATCAGCACTGGACTGAGAAACACATGGTCAGGAGTTCAAAGCCATCAGCTGTGAGTCGGAACTGACTCGACAGCACTTCACAACAACATATGGTGACTTTACCTCATCATTTCCTCTCATTTAAACGGGGAGTTTCAGCATGTACAGACAGTCCTCAACTTAAGTTCTCCCATAGTTACAAACAACCCTCGTCAAGCCTATTCTATTAAATATATATATATATATGTTGTTGTTGTTAAGTGCCGTCAAGTCGGTTCCGACCCATAGCCGACCCTGTACAGGGTTTCCGAGGGTGTAAATCTTTACGGGAGTAGAAAGCCTCATCTTTCTCCCGCGGAACGGCTGGTAGTTTCGAACCGCTGACCTTAAGGTTCGCAGCCCGATTCGTAACCACTACGCTACCAGAGCTCGCTCTCTCTCTCTCTCTCTCTCTCTCTCTCTATATATATATATATATATATACTAGGTCTTGATTTCAGTAGGATTTTTGACAAAAATTGCCTTGTAAACAATCACATCAGGAAGTTACATATTCCTTAAGCATTGTTAATATTACTGAATTATGCTAAATGTGCTTTAGGGTATCTCGAAGTAATTCTTTAATGTATTTAATGCCTAGAAAAATACACTAGGTGCCAAGACAAACATCTGACTAATTGGCATTAGATACGAACCAAACCTAACTCTTCTAATTTATAAACAAAGTCCACTCATAATCTGGGGACTATCTGTAGATAGAATATTCTAGTTGGTTTCAAGGACTAATCTTTGCTTGCTCTTGATTTTTTGAAATTAATATAAAGGGTTCCTACAGATGACTCTAATGATTTTTTCACTGAAACAAAAACAATGTACATATTTAAAACATCAGGTAGAAATAGTCTTAATGTGTTTGCTATTTGAAAAACAAATTAGAGACTGATTCTTTTATAAACTTTAATTCAAATGGAAGCATTTGGTTCCCTGAACTAAAAATAAAATATATTTGATATTCCAGTTAGGAAACTCTGTATTAAGATGAAGGTTACCTTTGCAGAAAATGTATTAACTCCAAGGAAAATGCTAGAAATCCACATAGGTAATGTCTACCTTTGTTTTTGTTTTTGTTTTTGTTTTTGTTTTTTAAGCAGAAACTTCTTTGAAACCGATATAAGATTTTTCATGACAATGCAAATATTTTTATCCAAGTTTTGCTTAAAGGAGTTGCCTGGGCTGGTTGTAACTGATGACCAAGCCTTCCATAAATGTGTTGAATTTTCTTGTGCCTGACAACTAGATTAATCTGTGTTCAATCCATTATCCTCAGAGTAATTGAGGGAGATTATGTTAGACAATCTGCCCCCAAGAAGAAAATCCAACGGAGAGGATATGGAATCCTATCACAAGTTGCGCTTATAATCGTGTTTGCAATTTAGGCCTCCCTGCTAAGAAAAAATGGTTTAACTGTTCAGCAGGAGTGGATAAACATATTGATCTTTTAGGTGATAAACGAGGCTCTCATTTCAACACAAAAGATTTGGAGTCAATGGGATATCATTTTTGTGATTCTCTTTTGGACTATTGTGACCCCAACCGGGCCAAGGTAAGCAAAGGCCATTCGAGTACACTTTAGACTCCAGTTTGCCTATGGACCTCAGGCCACTTCACCCTCTCAGTACCCTAAGAGAGTTTGAGGGACCTTGGTACTTGTTGAAGGATACCTGGTGGCACAGTGGTTTTGCACTCAGCCGCTAACAAAATGTCAGTGGGTCATACCCAAGAGTCTCTGTGGGAGAAGAATGTGACAGTCTGTTCCCATAAAGATTGCAGCCTTGGGAATCCTAGAGGGTAGTTCTACTCGATCCTACAGAGATCTCGAGTCAGAACCCACTAAATGGTGGTGGTGGTGATTATTAAGTGCCATCAAGTTGGTTCCGACTCATAGAGACCCTGTATAGGGTTTCCAAGGAGTGGCTGGTGAGCTTGAATCACCAACCTTGTAGTTCAAACTGACCTTGCAGTCCAATGCATTCACCCCAATAGCCATGTTTTCATTAGGAAGTACTTTTAAATGAACTCATTTATGATTTTTGCCTAGTATTTCCAATGCCTGAAAGAATTAGAGGAAATGGAGAAGCGCATCAACTTAGAAAAACTCTTTGATGATTCAGATACTTCTCTGATCGAAATCACATTGGATATAGAGTCTAGGTAAGTCAAGACTGTGAAACTGATCCTTTATGCTACTGTTTTCTATGCTCTTCACAATAATCTTAGAATTATTACCAGTTTCAATCGGAGATCCCAACTATCAGTGGAGGAAATGTTTTTTCCATGAACATTAGCTGGACCTAACTGTTGCTTTCATGGTCATTGATTGTGGATCCAAGTAAATCAAGATAAGAGCTAGAAATGGGCTTGAGTTTCCGACCTTTCAATTGGCAGCCAGATTTGATGCATTAGACATTAATGACAGAAGACCAGAGGAGCTCTAGGATGACATCAAGAACATCATACATGAAGAAAGCAAAAGGTCATTATAAAGACAGGAAAGAAAAAAAAAAAAAAAAAAAAACAAAAATGGGTCTTTTTTCAGAAGACACTCTGAAACTTGCTCTTAGCATAGTGGTTACGAATCGGGCTGTGAACCTTAAGGTCAGCAGTTCGAAACTACCAGCCGCTCCGCGGGAGAAAGATGAGGCTTTCTACTCCCGTAAAGATTTACACCCTCAGAAGCCCTGTACAGGGTCGCTATGGGTCGGAACCGACTCGACGGCACTTAACAACAACAAAGTGACTGAAGAAATGATGACGTGAAAGCGTTGAAAAGAACATTTCAATGGGCTTCTCAAGAAAACAAACTCAAGTAGTATAACGAACTGTGCAAAGACCTGGCGTTAGAAAACCAAATGGAAAGACCATGCTCAGCATTTCTCAAGCTGAAAGAACTGAAGAAAAATTTAAGCCTTGATTTGCAGTGTGGCACTGTAAGTAAGCACTGGACTGGTAACCACAAGGTCAGTGGTTCAAACCAACAGCTACTCCTCAGAAACCCTATACAGGGTAGCCATGAGTCAGAACTGACTTGATGGTACATAAACACCAACAACAAATGGGCAAAATATTGAATGATGCATGAAGAATCCAAAGAAGATGGAAGGAATACCCAGAAACACCGTACCAAAAAGGATGTGTCAAGTTTCAACCATTTCAAAAAACAGAATATGATCAAGAACTGGTGGTATTGAGAGAAAATGTCCAAGATGCACTGAAGGCATTGAGGAAAAACACAGCTCTGGGAATTGATGGAATACCCATTTAAATGTTACTACAAGCAAGCAGAACTCATTCGTCTATGCCAAACAATTTGGAAGACAGCTACCTGGCCAATCAATTGAAAAAGATCCTTATTTTTCCATTCCAAAGAAAGGTGACACAGTGGACTGCAGAAATCATCAAACAATATCATTAATATCCACATGCAAGTAAAATTTGGCTGAAGACAATTCAAAAATGATTGCTGCAGAACATCGACAGCTGCCAGAAATTCAAGCCGGATTCAGAAGAGGACGCAGAACGCGGGCTATCTATCCCTTCTGATCTCAGCTGGTTCTTAGCTGAAAGCAGAGACTCCTAAAAAGATGTTTACTTATTCTTTTTTAACTCCTCAAAGGCATTTGCAAACAATAAGAATTCCAGAACACTTAATTATCCCACAGAATAGGCAGTTGTAGTGGCCCTGTGGGTTAATACGCTGGACGGCAAAATCGTTTGAACCGCAAGGTCAACAGTTCAAGCTCACCAGCCTCTCCTCAAAAACCCTATGATGTTGTTGTTGTTGTTAAGTGCCGTCGGGTCGGTTCTGACCCATAGTGACCCTGCACAGGGTTTCCGAGGCTGTAAATCTTTAAGGGAGCAGAAAGCCTCATCTTTCTCCCGCGGAACC